GCTGAACTTGCGCTTCAGTTCTTTGCTGAATGCAATGTCATATTCCTTCTGGCGTTTTCTGTTATAAACCCTAGTTTTTATGGCATTGAATATTTCAGCTGTCTGGAATATACTGCAAGAGCCTAGCCACTGACTACACTTTACGGACTGCATTAAGCTCCTCCCATTTTTATCCTTACCTACAGGGAGGTCCCACGTGCCTGACTTCCTCTAAGGAGTTGCTAACTTCAGAGTTTCATTCGGCAGAGCATATTGTCCCTGTTACGAGGTCCTCCGTCCTCCCCCAGTCTTCTCGGTGCTGCTTAGGTTTCAGACGCTCCTTGTGACTATGGAAACTAACTCAGAAAGCTGTGACTCCCTTCATATCCCCTGCGTGAAGTGAACATAACACCACCTTGTGCCTGACAGCTTTTTAGACATTTTGCACCAGGGTGGCTACGTGGGTGGATAAGCCTAGCGTGGGCATAACAAACAGTTTTTGCGCCCTGGGCAGCGGCAGTGGTGGTGGTAGTGGTGGCTGCCAGTCTTCTGCCAACTGTAAGTCAGTGCCTGGGGCTGGTGCCCTTGAAGCCCTAGAAAGCCAGGAAGTGGAGAATTGAGCCCTTTCAGTCCTACATGTCTTGAGATGCTTACATGATTGAATGGAAAAGCATTGTGAAAGCAGATCACATCTAATCAGACAGTTGTCAAATGCCGACGTCAGGCGCAGGTCAGCGATCAGGCCCGCAATCTGTGTCCTCCATGACCCCGCTCTGCCCTATGCCAGTATCTCCCATTGTGCCCCTTTGCAGGTTCTCTTTGTTCTTCCCCTTCCACCCCAGATCTGTTTTTTCCCCTCTCCAAGTCCTTCCCCACCTGCACTTCCCCACTAGGGTCTTTGCTTCCGTGGACAACCAGTATCCCCTGAGTCCTTGCTGTCTTCATCACTACCATTCACCATCTCCACTTTCTTGTGGCGCTCTGCTCCATCCCCATTTCCAAGTCTACTTCTGTCAAGATCTCTGGGTCCTTTTTTCTTCCATGTGTGTCCCTCACTGCCCCCACCCCTGCTGCTTAGCTCTCTCCTCTGGGTCCCTGGTTCTCATACCAGTGCTTTGTATGAGTTGGTTTTTGGTTGTAGCCATGTTGGTCTAAGGACATAGGCAGGCAAGGTATGTGTGGAGGTTCTGTTGTTCTTGTCTTGAAGCTGGTATTGGAGTTGGTCAGTGAAGTTTTGAGTCTGGCTTTGTTGGTTTGAGTACTGGGATTGTACTGTAATGGCAGGAATTCCTGCTCCAGATCCTGCGCCAGACCCTCCTCATCCCAGTCAGTGGGATCAGAGCAGATACAGTTGCAATGTAGAGCTTGGCTGTGTGCTTAGGGTGATGGTGTGAAGATAGCACAACCTACACCCCTTTTGCGGATTAACTTTTGTGACCTCTTTGTTCCCACAGGGTCTTTGCTTGTATGCCTCTCCCAGCACCGGGCCCTCTCTCACCTTCCTTTCCCTCCTCCCTTCCCTCCTTTTGTATTCAAATCATTCACTCCACGTTCTGCATTGCTCTATGCTTGTCCTTTCACAGCATCTGATGAAGTGAGCTCAAGTTCACCAGAGCTTATGCCCTATATGTATCTTATTTAATTCGTCTATTGTTGTGCATCTACACTGCCTTCTGCCCGACTTCAGACTAACACAGCTAACTACATCCCTCTTTTTTTCCCTTTAACAGAATTCATATAAACTGCAGTGTTCAATGAGATTTACTTCATAGCCCACTTTTCAAAATGCATTTATTGATTTTTTTTTTTTTTTTTTTCTTTTCTCCCTGTTACAGGGTATGAAGCAACTTCTGAAGAAAATATGCAACTTCTAATGCAAGACACAGACACTCTTCCACTTGAGACCCTGGAAGAAGCGAGACCCAGATTCCACAAGCTACCTGAGTATGTGTCTGTCTCCATATATTAATTTTAATGTCAATACCACACACCTTCCAGAACCCACATGAAGGATCTGCAGAAGCACTGGATGCCCTTGGAAGTTACTTCCTAGCATTTATCTGCCCCTTTTCACACTGACAAGCCGGTTGCAACATATCCAGCTATGATGTACACAGGGAGCATTATTCTTACCAGTATTCCCTTCGCAGCATTGTTCTGCCTTTTTGCCAGTTGCATTTTATCATTCTGTTCCCAGACGTGCACATACTACTGGTTCTCTTGATGTGGAAGAGCTATTTTTTATTTATCGTCTGGCTCCTTCAGTACATCTGTGACTGAGTCAAGCAGAAGTTGATTGTTACAGGTACTCTTTTCTTTCTACCTTGTTGATTTTCAAAGGCTGCCTTCACCCAAATATTGCTGATTGCAGGAGCGGTGTGTCAGCAGAGCAGGAGTGTTTGGCGTCACATCAATTTTGGAGCTAATGTGGGAGTTGAACCGACTGGTATGCAGGCACGGTAGCTAGTACTGGGTTGAGGAGCATTTGAAATCAGTGCCTCTAGGCCAAGGGTTGGCAACCTATGACCAAGTGATTTCTTCTACCCCATAGAACTGGGATAATGGCAGCAATCTGGCAGCAAAAGCATGCTCCTCAAAGGCAAGAGAAGTGTCATTGGTGTTCAGGTTGCAAAAGGTGGCCCTCCTCAGGCTGAGCTGCATTATTTTGTCCCACAGCTCCTGAAAGGTGCCCAACCTCTGCTCTCGGATAGTGGTCATCAGTCTTTTCAGCCTGCAGGCCAGAATGACCTGCTGCTGCTACTGTCCCCTGCTGAGTCTGGGCCCTGTGTGACCCCAATCTGTAGCTGGAGCAGTACAGGAGTGGCTCTGGGAGTCCTCCTGCACCCAGGTCAGCTGGGGAGTGCAGAGGCTGTAAAGAAAGAGGAGTGCAACTGCACCCCTTAACTGTCCTGGATTTGCCTCCATCTATACATCTATACATAAAATGGAGATGGTAGGTCACACATTGCTTTGTGCCCACTGTGTTTCACAGCACCCCTAAAACCAGGATAGTCAACCCAGGAGGTTTCAAGGGGGAGGTCACAGTGTAAAGCTGGCATTGCAACTCCTTATCTGCCTCTCTTAGTTTGACCCATGGCATGAGTCATTTCCCATGGCATGAGTCATTCCCTGCTCTTTTCCCTGTGCGCTAGTTGGCCTCTTAAGGCTTTTTGTGCCTAGGCTACCCTATTATCCATCTCTGGGATAAGGAGAGAACTATCTTGCAGACCTATCCTGGGCACTGGAAATATGGGCCTAAAACATTTCCCTTTCACTGAGCATGGTAAAAATTCTGATTTGTAAATGCTCTGACATTGTTCAAAGAAAATACCTCTTAAACGCCGACTCTGACTGCCTCTTACAGCCATGGCTTGAATGAAGAGGGGCTGTTGACCTATCGCTTTCCCTGAAGTCCCTCCTTAAACTCTGAACTCCTTTGAGCAGGGATCCTTCCTTCTTGAATGTTCAGAAAACACCACACATGCTAGGGAGGGCTATTTTAAATATAAAGTTACCAATGATAAAGACAGTACAAGAAACCTTCATGTGTAATGATACCTATATACCTGTCTCTGAACTGGCAGTAATCAGTCTCTTTCCTCACTCTTGTCTATGTTGTAGCCAGGTCTGTATAAAAAGAAACAAAAAATAAATTGTTTTCTTCTGGCGCCTGTAAAGATGTTATAGACCCAGGTGATTTTAAAGCAACATCTGTTTTACTACCATGCATCTGATACATTCTAAGACTGACACGTTGATCCCAAGTGCTCAGGCAATCATTAGGAAATGTGGGTGATTATTATTAATGGAGCCAATTATCAAAGAGCTAACTACAAATATGATGCTGCAAAACCATTTCAAGCAGATACTGACTGGGTGAAAGATAATTTTCATATATTAAATTTCTCTGCTTAAACAGCTTTGCAAGCTGCAAATAATTGCATCTTGAGGTTTTTATTTTTCTTTCTTTTTTTTAAGTCAAGGAGTGTATGGAACATTCTGCGCAATTGTATTAATATCTACCTTTCTATAGGGCAAGGCCATGATGCATTTACTCAAAATGAACCTAGTTCTTTCTTACGGTGAGATCTTTATGTACTGCCAGAGCATTATAAAGGACGTTGTTGTGTAAATGTTTAGATGTACAATGTCGTGCCTTACTCTACAAATTATGCTCTAATGTACACTCGAGAAAAGTCATCTACCAAAGCCAGGTGTTTCAATTATCACTCTTCAACAGTAGCTCTCAGAGTGCTTTACACAGAGGGTGAGTGTCATTTATCCCCACCCTTTCGCAGGTGACAAACCTGAAGAAGAGAGGGCAGAAGTACTTCACCCAGCAGATCAGTAAGAGAGTCAGAAATGGAACCCAGGTCCCAAACCGCTGTCCTGTTTGGTAGGCTACACTCTCTGCCTGTGATCGCTTTGTATTTACAACCAAAATGCTTCTCCTTACAAGAAATACTTTGATTTACAGCATGAAGCTGTTCTGTATTCTAATGAACCCCAGCATCGAGCGAACCCTAATGAGGTAGCCCAGTGGTTTTAGAATCATAGAAAATGAGGGTTGGAAGGGACCTCAGTAGGTCACATCTAGTCAGCCCCCCTGCTCAAAACAGGACCATTCCCAGGTAGATCGTCTTAGACAGGGCTTTATCAAGCTGGGCCTTAAAAACTTCCAAGGATGGAGATTCCACCACCTCTCTACGTAATATTTCAGTGCTGCACCACCCTCCTAGTTGGAAAGTTTTTACTAATATCCAACTTAAACTTCCCTTGCTGCAACTTGAGCCCTTGTTCTGTCATCTGCAACCACTGAAAATAGTCCAGCTTTATCCTCTTTTGAAGCCCCTTCAGGTAGTTGAAGGGTGCTATTAAATCCCCTCTCAGCCTCCTCTTCTCTAGACTAAATAAACCCAGTTCCCTCAGTCTTTCCTCACAAGTCATGTCCCCCAGCCTCCTCACCATTTTTGTTGCTCTCCACTGGACTCTTTCCAACTTGTCCACATCCTTTCAATAATGGGGGGCCCAACACTGGACACAGTCCTCCAGATACGGCCTCGCCAGTGCAGAATAGAGCAGACTAATCACTTCCCTTGATCTGCTGGCAGTGCTCCTCCTAATGCAGGCCAGTACGCTATTAGCTTTCTTGGCAACAAGAGCACACTGCTGATTCATATCCAGCTTATTGTCTACTGTAACCCCCAGGTCCTTCTCTGCAGAGCTGCTGCTTAGCCAGTTAGTCCCCAGGATGTACCGGTGCATGGGATTTTTCCATCCTAAGTGCAGGACTTTGCACTTGTTCTTGTTGAACCTCATGAGATTTCTTTTGGCCCAATCCTCCAATTTGTCTGTCGCTCTGAATCCTAGCTCTACCTTCCAGTATATCTATTACATTGCAAACTTGCTGAGGGTGCACTCCATCCCATCTTCCAGATCGTTAATGAAGATATTGAACAAAACCATCCCCAGGACCAACCCCTGGGGCGCTCCACTTGATACTGGCTGCCAGCTAGACATTCAGTGATTGATTACTACCTGTTGAGCCTGACAATCCAGCCAGCTTTCTGTCCACCTTACAGTCCATTCATCCAACCCATGCTTCCTTAGCTTGCTTGCACGAATGCTGTGGGAGACCATATCAAAATCAAAGTATATTATGTCCACTGCTTTTCCCCACATTCACAAAGCCAGTCATCTCATCATAGAAGGCAATTAGGTTGGCCAGGCATGACTTGCCCTTGATGAATCCATGCTGACTGCTCCTAATCACCTTCTTCTCTAAGTGCTTAGAAATTAATTCTTTGAGGACCTGCTCCATGATTTTTCTGGGGACTGAGACGAGGCTGACTGGTCTCTAGTTCCCTGGATCCTCCTCCTTCCCTTTCTTAAAGATGGACACTATATTAGCCCTTTTCCAATCGTCTGGGACCTTCCCCGATTGTCACAAGTTTTCAAAGATAATGGCCAGCAGCTCTGCTATCACGTCAGCCAAGTCCCTCAGCACCCTCGGATGCATTGCATCGGGCCCCATGAACTTGTACACGTCCAGCTTTTCTAAATAGACCCTGACCTGTTGTCCCCAAACTGTGCGTCTTGGTGCGGTAGTCTGGGAGCTGACCTTGCCTGTTAAGACCGAGGTAAAAAAGGCATTGAGCACTTCAGCCTTATCTTCATCCTCTGTCACAAGTTTGCCTCCCCCATTCAGTAAGGGACCCACACTTTCCCTGACCTGCCTCTTGTATCTAACACACTTGTAGACACCCTTCTTGTTACCCTTCACATCCCTTGCTAGCTGCAACTCCAGTTGTGCTTTGGCCTTCCTGACTTCATCCCTGCGTGCCCGAGCAATGCTCTTGTACTCCTCCCAAGTTGTTTGTCCAAGCTGCCACTTTTCATAAGCTTCATTTTTGTGTTTAAGCTCACCAAAGCGCTCTCTCCTAAGCCAAGCTAGTTGCTTGCCATATTTGCTAGTCTTCCTGCACATCAGGATGGCTTGTCTATGTGCCTTCAGTAAGGTTTCTTTAAAATACAATGAACTCTCCTGGACTTCTTTCCCCCTCAGTCTGGCTTCCCAAGAGATCCTGCCCACAAATTCCCTAAGCAAGTCAAAGTTTGCTTTTCTGAAGTCCAGGGTCCACACTCTGCTGGTCTCCTTTCTTCCTTTTGTCAGGATCCTGAACTTAATCATCTCATGGTCACTGCTGCCCAACTTGCCATTCACTTCTACACTCCCCACCAATTCTTCCCTGTTTGTGAGCAGTAGATCAAGAAGAGCACGGCCCCTAGTTGGTCTCTCCAACACTTGCACCAGGAAATTGTCTCCAGTGCTCTTCAAAAACTTCCTGTGCATTGCTGTATTGTCCTCCCATCAGATGTCAGGATGTTTGAAGTCTCCCATGAGAACCAGGGCCTGTGATCTGGAAACTGCTGCAAGTTGTCTG